GCAGCACTTCCATATTTATTCTCTCGTTGCCTTCCTGCAGGGTTCCAGGTAACACGCATAAAAAGGCAACCCAAAATAGGCCATCCCAAGGTCTTTGCGTCTAGGCTCAAGTACTTGACAACCCCGGACCAATCAGGCCATCAACACATATCGCGGTCTCAACTGTTTTTCCATTGGGTTGCTTTACCCCGGGGCCTCACTGGGATCTGACTAATAAAAATACATGGATTGCCCGCATGGTCCAGGTGCTCGAGACTCGAGATGGTCGCGTGACCTGACTTATGTAGGTAGTCGATAGCAAACACAATGACCTTGCATAAACCTCATCTCACACTTCTGTCTCTTTGGGACAGAGGAGCAATCCACTGCGGTGCTGCCGTCAGCCCAATCTTCTTGAAATAATTCAGCCCGATGAACATATTTTGGGACCCCATATTTCAAATCATCGCCGGCACAGAGTTCCTATTCTTTTCCTAAAAATCATGCCCGAACACCTCAGATTCCAGTATCAAAGAGTCTAGTTATATCCCTAGGATCATGCCCGAGATCGTAGCAAACAGGTCTACTCATTTGTCCTAAAACTTGGGGAGATACCCTGCCGGCGGCAGGAAGAAATGGCTAGCTTGGGTGGTCAGGATCTAGGTAGGCTTTAGGGCGATGTCTGGTGCTTTTCCCATTAGTCGACTACAAGCACAAGCAGGTATATATACTCCCCGTCTATTCTACCTAATTTTCGACTCGTAGCTCAGAGCTCGGAAGCTTTCCACGGCGGTCTAGTTATGATTAAGGCGATCACCGTTCAGAAAATTAAGGTTATTTTGACTTGCCGCCACAACCAAGCACTTTTTTTTTCCCCATTCAGACACTTCGTATGTTTTCTTTGTTATTCAATGTCAACTTTCACGGATTTCTTCTCTCCAAAAAAAAACAAACAAAAAAAGGAACTATTCCAGCTTACGTGCTAATCTGCTCAAAACCGACGCAAGGCTGTGGCCAGGTCATTCCAACAATTGGCCCTATACATAAAGACCAAATCACCCGTTTCAATTCAACAAACCTTGATAGCAGAAACTACTTATCTAACGATAGAGAGAAGTATTATACATCATTCCTAACGGCAGCAAAACCGCAAATGATATGTCCAGTATGACCTTCACTTTCAGGATATATTCCACATATTAACACATTGGGTATCCAGAACCTCAAGGCAAACCTACCCCTCTCCGCGTGGGCGTAGTACTATTCCCAGGATTCCAAGCCCTGGATGTATTCGGTCCAGTTGACTGCATCAACGTCCTCTCTTGGTGCCACAGTGTAACGTTGGCACTTATATCCTCAAGTTTAGAGCCAGTAACAACGAAATCACCGTCATCAGCCAATGCCATAGGTCAAAGCGTGGTGCCAACCCACACCTTTGCAACAGCACCGTCTCTGGATCTGCTTTTCGTCCCTGGCGGCTTGGGCACGCGCGGATCGAGCCCAGTAATCGAAGAAGCAATCTCGTACATCCAAAACATATATCCCCAGCTAGACTATCTTATTACGGTGTGTACTGGTGCGGGGCTTGCAGCGCGAGCTGGGGTTCTGGATGGGAAACGAGCCACGACGAATAAGATGGCATGGGCTGAGATTACGGGTCTGGGGGTGAATGTCGACTGGGTTCCTCGCGCGAGATGGGTCGTTGATGGTAATGTTTGGTCTTCTTCTGGGGTTAGTGCGGGCATTGATGTTACCCTTGCTTGGATTGGAGAGGTCTATGGGAGCAAGGTGGCGACGGATATATCGGATAGCATGGAATATACTCGACATGAGGACCCTAATCACGATCCGTTTGCTGAACTTCGTGGACTTTGAGCTAGGAACTATGTTAGTGCCTGTTTTCACATTTTATATTTATATCTGGAGGGTCTTCACTCTGTTCGGAAATTTATTAGGAAAGGAAATCTAGACTATTGTAACAATTTATATAAGGCTGACTTGTCTCAATGGCTCGAAGTGAGAAAACTACTTGTAGGCCATCTGCATGCTCAACTCATCGTCTTATCTCTTTTGCCATTATTCTTCTAGAAAAGCAGAATAATCCAAAGCTATCTTGTACGGGAAACCACCAAATCCGATCTAATGAAGTTCTATTATCCTTCAGTGGACGAGTCTAGGCTACATTATCTAATGTTACAACCTCAACTCCAGGAATGGGAGTCTATTATAATCAAAAGAATGCTTGGAGATAGGTATACTGAAACTAGTCGGGGTCCAAGAAATTAAGCGTTCCGAATAGGTTAATTTTGATGACGCCGCTAAGTCAATTTCTATTGATGAACCTAGCGACAAGGGTATGTTCAAATAAATTTATCACGCCGAAACACTGTGGCGTGCATGCTGCATGTGTGCAGTGCCACCTAGGGTAATATGTGATATCCCATGCTTGCTTGAGGTTAGTGACTAAGCCTGGAATTCCGAGCTCGGGTCCGACACGCAATATTGAATTGATTCCTTTGGCCTTATAGAGGCTTTTCTCGATCCTTCTGAGAATGTTAGAAACAAAAGTGGTTTGCTTAATACCAGGTTTAGTCGCAAAGTATCAAGTATATCTGGTGAGGACTCCAAAGTTCCAGATTACCCACCTGGGCAATTAAGTTATTTTCTCAACCTGCCAGTCCAATGTCTGTTTCTCACAGCCATGCAAAGATAGAAAACGAGATGGGGATAACTAAAGCCCTGGCAGTTGTGGTAGATGTCATCGGATTCTCCACCAATTTCCCATTTCGCGGGTAGCACGTGATCGCGCGCCGTTATCGACGCGCCTCAATTTCACAACTTTGCGATCAACAGAACATGAATATTTCGACGTGTCAGCATGTCTTACTATGATATTGACTCCATCTTGACAGATGCCCAGGTGAGTTAGTTACAACCACATGTCCTAACTACAAATCCGCAATAATGAACAATTGCTAACATCTTGGATCCAGAAACTGCCGTGTACATTTGAGCTCGAAGTACCTGGACTCGGCATTCTAGAGGGCAATGCGGGCGAAGATGTGAGTAAATGCTCTTTTTTTTAAATGCCCGGCTGCGCAGCCTACTGACCCATGCACAGATAAAAGCCGGAACCCGCATCGATCTTCCACTATGGCTAGGCGAAATGCTCTCGATCGGGTAAGGTCCCACCCAGTACAGTCTACCCAGAAGACTAGGCGTGGGGTTTGTCATTTGTCCTAACGCGCTATATGTGTTTGTTACAGAGCACGTCTAGGAACGTCCCGTCTAGTCACGCTCGACATGCCAGAAGCACTTTCAGAGCGAGTGATGAATGCACTGAAGGCAGATCCCCGCACGCTTGACCTGCGCGCTTTAGCACCGCATTTTTACAACCTAAGCGAGCGGATACTCGAACTTTTCGAGGAAGAAGAGATGGTCGATGTTCTCGGAGATGTAGGTGGCTGTGACGTTCGCTGGTGAAGACCGCGCATTGGCCGGGCTGGGACTAACGACCTGCCAGGCATTTAAGAAACGAGCGGCAGAGATCGCTGATCATGCTCACAACTCGCGTGGTGCGGTCGGTGGTGGGGTTGATTTCCTTCGTGGACTAGATGAGACTGAGCGACAATGTAGGTTATAACTGTCCCCTGGATATGTGGGTGGAGGAATGAGGTTACTAACAGATATGGGTCGATAGTGTTCCGCGCTGCTCATGATCGGGCTAAGGACATGCGAATCTGGTCGGGAGAGGCGAAACGTAAGTAATAGTTCTTTGTGACGAGGCATTTCTCGTGGGTTCTGAGCTGCGCTCGCTCATGGAGGTTATGATACATTTTATGCGACAATATGATTCTTCGATCCGATAGGCTGCGTGTGAGGTAGAACGGGATTTGGCTTGGTCTTTATTTCGTTCTCGTACTCCGTACTATACGAGTATTTCAAGGCTATTGAAGTCTACAGTTTAGAGGAAGAATCTGATATATAGTGTTATATTAAATTTGACAGGTGAGGTCCAAATACTCACGGATATACCCATGTGGAGACATGAGATCTGGATCCATGGAAATGGAATGTTGATATATCAACCCATTTGTATAGGCATTTCCATACACATCTTTTGTATTTTTATTTTCTCTCTTCGATTGATAGGTATAAAATTAATCGAATTGAGATAGTTTATAGAGATGGATTCGTTTCTCATTATATTACGGAGTGCCCCGTAAGTACTTCCATCAAACAATTCTGTAACAGTGAAGTCAACAGGAGAAACCCCGCGTAAGGGCCAATGTGAGACTGTCCCACGGGCGCGATCCGATTGGTGTGAATGTGATGTTAGTTGATAGCGAATGTGAATTGATCGTCGTGCTAAGGAGCCTATTGAATCTAGCCTCGAGGGGGCTGGAAAAAACAGAAAAGTGAAGGCGTGTTTGAAGTTCAACTATTTTTCTACGGGAGTACTCTGTAATGTTTCTTCCATTCTTCGATTCTTCCATTCCTTACTTTTCATGACAACGGTCCCTACTTCACCAAAACAAATAACTACATAAGTGGGGCCTGGGACTGCAACCCTTTTTTCTTCTTTGGAGATCGACTCATCACAATTCGTTTGCGACATCACCCTCGCTTCGTTTGACTCCCAGTCCCGCCGTTTCCTCCCTTGACTCTTGGGTTTGGAACTGGGAGACCCCCTCTATGCCTTGATTCGGGTCTATTGACTCTGCCAAACCAACCTTGCACTCCACAGGTTCGACCCAACCGGCCTCTGATTGCTCCCCACCTGCAACTCATCTGCATCCCTCGCATCGGGCCTGCGTTTTACCCACCGCCATTCAACCGCCTATCCAATTGACATCGATCTACCGGGATCCATCAGATAATCCTCCGATGCGGCTGGTGGATTGTGCAGGAAATTGTTACCGTGGTGTCCACTGATTGACCAGAACGCTGCAGTGCTACGTCCAAACAGGGAAACGGGGGGCTTCTTACGGCACGTTAATTATGCGCATTCGGTAAACATTATGCCGGCTGCCATTATGGATGAGAAATCTCAAAGAAGGAGCTCGGCTGCTGGTCAGCCTGCTCCTTCGCACTCCGTATATCATCCCCGGACTGCTCCCAAACGCAGCGTTTCCTCTAAAGACCACCCTTCCAGTACGTGATTTTGGAACCTGCACCTGCCTGAATTGAGTTCTAAAACCTAGGGTTAATTAATTAAAGCTGACATTCCTTCTTCAAGACTTGCCAGGGCGTCCTCAGCACCCATCACTTTCCCGCGTCAAGGGCCGAACCAATATGTTTACTCCACCTCGAATGAACGCAGAGGTCTCGTGGTTGAGAGACCAGTCACCTACCCATCAGGGCACAAGGACACCAATCCGCTCATCTGGTATGTCTTCCGATTGGTAGCAACATTGGATAGCTCTAGAGCGGAAGTGACTGATTATTTGTGCATCAGAAACTCCCGAACCTGGCACCCCTACCCTAGTCAACCCTGCCTCAGCTCTCCTGCAGGATTTACTGAAAGAAGAACGGGCACACCGAAGCTCCCGAGGAACCATATCAGAGGATTACAAAGAAAATGCGCCTCAAACTCCCGAGACCACTCGAACGCAGGAGGATACTGCGTCCGAAAAAGCACGTAGGGTGAATGACGTCTTCTCTGCTGGCCAAAGAAAACCGAAAGAGATGGGCATGCGGGAAATGGACCAAGTAAGTTCAGGAGTACAAGAACCCCTTGTGCACTAGCTGACTCGTTTGAAGTATGTCTCGAAAATGAACAGGCTCAACTTCGATTTGAAGCTCGAGGTTTTCCACCGCACACAACAGATGGCTGTGTATGAAAAGAAGCTGGAACGTATGGCAGAGATGGAAGAACAACTAGCGCACATGGAGGATTTGGTAGCAGAAGTGGAGGAGCTTCGAACCGCCGAAAAAGACAACCAGACCCTCCGTGAATCCAACGAGCAACTCCGCATGGACCTTGACAAGCGAGACCTGGCTGTTACCGAAGCTGTCGAGCTCATCTGCCAGTTGGAATCAAAAATCGATATGCTGGAGAATGGCGGCCGAGGATCCAGGCTGTCCATGTCACGCCCTATGACCGCCGATGGCTCCGAGGCCTTTGCGTCAAAATCCTGCGCTAGGATCGACATCCCGGAGAGAACCTCCTCCAAGCGAAATTCAAGTATCTTGAGCGTAGCTCAGCGCCAGACATCCTCTGAGCTACGCAAGCTCTCGAAAGCGCCCTCCTTCCTACGCGCGGATAACAAAAGTACTGCTACTTTGCGAAGCCTTTATGCCCCTGAAGAAGAAACCCAGTCGCGCTCTGCAAGGACTGAGCTTTCGAAATCAGAGAGCTTCCACACGACTACCGAGATGATGGAGCCTGAGTCACCCAGACTGAGCGTCCTGAGTGAATGCAGTGAGCTGAACCCGTTGGATACGCCTACGAGGTGGCAAGAATTTGATCAGCTCGAGATCCCTGTGCGGAGATCGTTGTCGGCCGCAGGCAGCTTGGATAGCTATGTCCCCCCGAACCGGCGGGAAGAAAGCAAAGAAGACCAGATTGATCGGTGGATTCAGTCTCGAGAAGATGTGAACCAGACTATAATCACGCGACGCAGGAACCGAGCATCATCTGATGCTACCAAGGCTAGCATCCCCAATTTTACAACAGACTTGTATGCTCCCAAGCCGCGTGGACGCGGGCGACTGGATGCGTCTCTTTTCGGGGGCGTCAGGCTTCCTCCCACTCCTGACACTATGAGTACAGCGCGTGCTACCGGTGCAAACCGATCGCATGGGTCGAATGGTTCGAACGGGAGCATTAGAACCCGAAAGAGTCCACAAACTGAGCTGGATTTGTTTTTCCCTGGCAGGCGAGTCAATCGCCCACGGTCTGCGGAAGAGATGGCCAGCCACTACAGCTTCAATGGCAGTGAGGTTGACGACAGCATGCAAACCAACTACGGTGATTCTCCTCGTCTAGGACTCACAGCCGAAGAGTCGCGCACCATCTTACCCTCCTTCAATACTGTTTCCTCTAAAGCCAGCGCGCTTCTTGGGCCCGGAAGCCCCGACAACCCTGTCATTGAGACCTTTGAAGATCAGTGCCACGAAAATGCCAACGCAGCATCAACCCCAACAATTAAACGTGTCCGAAGCCCAATCAAGGCTATGACCCCGGAGCCGCATACTCGTGACCGCGACTCTTCACCACTTACACCTCAAGACTGGGTTGCCGCTGCAAAGCAGAGTCCACGGTCTCGCAAGCCCAAGCCGCGTGACACCCGCCACGAGATTCAACAGACCGAGCTGTCACCACACACTGCCGGCAGTCCTGCTACATTCCACGACGACAGTAGCATCGCTTCGGATCCAAGCGAACATGAGGTCCCTGGTATCCCAACTCTTGACATGAACACTCTGGACATCCTGGAACAACCCCTCGACATCGCACAGTCACAACTCAAACCTGAAGCTAGCCCTGAACCCCGTCGACGTCTCAGCTTCATACCCCCATTCTTCAACCGCTCAAACAACAACCCCCGTCGACTACAAGGCTCCCCAATTCCAAATGACTTTGAAGATGACGATGACGGCGCCCCATCTCCGGTGATCCCCAAAACGAGGACAATGGCCGGCGCCTCCCGGAGACCCATGTCCCAAGTAATCACCGCCCCAACCGCCCTCTACCCCTCCAACCCGCCAATCCACAATGAAGAGTCTCTCTCGGCCCTCAGACCACGAGGGCTTGCTCAATCGTTGACAATGTCAACACTTGCCGACCAATCCGGTTCAGCAACAGTTTCAGGACGCCCCTCTACATCGCATGGCCATGAGGTGGAACACAAGCGACGCAGCTCGCTGGGTATCTTTGGCTGGATGAAGAGTAAACGCTCTGATTCCGTGACTGTTCCCGAGACGGAGAAGTCTGGTGACTCTACGCAGAAAGAGAACCGCGCTCCCTCGCGTCTAGCCCACGAAACTATCCATGGCCTTGGAATCCCCCGTGCTGAGACGCCGGACTCCATGGAGGCCCATGTGAGACCTCACTCTGAGATGGCTATTCATGCTGATGATTATGCGAGACGACCTCGGTATATGGGTCGTCGTGCTCGCCGGGGTTGAGCCGCTCTAGAAGCAGTCATTACCGCCTCACTATCCTCTCTGTATTCTCTTACTTCTTCCCCATTTTGTACTATATGATACCCAGCCCTGTATACACAGTAGCGTGACTACGTTCTTTTTTTGCTCTTACTGTTCACTTGCCAAAGGCACTTTGAACCCATTGGCTTATTATGACCTCTTTTCATTTCATCTGTTATGTTTCCTTTATTGATGTATGCGAATGACGGCTCTAGGCTTCTGCAATTTTGTCAATTTTGATGTCGATCCTGCAGGCAGGGTTACGGTTAACCTGAAAGATGTTACATCGTCCAATATGCTACTGTCTTACGAAAGTAAGGATTGTACCAGAAGTAATTACGATGTGAGAGGATCTTAATGTATGCATCTAGGCATTGTGAGCAACTACCTAGTTGATAGAAATGTAATGGGCACACAAACCTGTCCTCCATCACGCCGCATGTTCTGTCTTGAGGGGTCCTCACCGACCCCGGGACTTCGACTCTCGCGGCATGCGCCGCCGACGTTTCTTCTCACTGCTGTGGATATGGGTCACTTAACAGGTGAACCATCTCAATCCCTCGTCAGGCAGCTTACTGACCTCTCGCTTTCCCCCCTCCAGGCGCGACGACAAGGGTGCCGTACCGGCCAGGGTTCCCTTCCTAGTAGATATTAGTAATGCATCAATGAGAAGGATCTCAGAATCATATCTTACAATGTGCGTCTTGGTGATGTGACGGCGGAGGTTCGATGCCATCAGTCTGTCCCTCCCGACTTTGTTGAACTCGTCGCAGTAGGGGCATCTGTAGGCGCAGGGGGCGATTATCTAGAAAGGATGTTAGTGTCAATGGCAAACTGAGAAGGATATTGGTTTTGGATACGCACCAGCTCGGCATAGTGGACAGGCCACCACCCCTGGAGGTGGTTTGGGCAGCTGCACAGGAGCTTGTTCGGGTCTCTGATAATCTGTCAGCTAGGTAGGATCAATGGAGAACATGGTAGAAACTTACGCGAAGTACTGGGGCTGGTAGCCGCCAGATGGTCTCCAGTAACTGCCCTGAGGCGTGGAGTCAGTGGCAGTGCTAGTAGTACCAGTATTAGCGCCAGTGCTAGAATCAGGACCAGAGTTGGGGCCAGGGTTGGAGCTGGGGTTGAGGGCAGGGTTGGGGTTGAGGTCAGCATTGAGACCAGGGTTGAAGCCAGTGTTGAGGCTAGGGTCGATGTTTGGGCCAATGTTTGGGTCGATGTTTGAGTTGATGTTTGGGTCCATGTTCGGGTCGAAGTTGCCGAAGCCTTGGAAAGCAGACATCGTGGTGGATATCGCTGATGCGACTTGAGTAACTTGGGTGAGTGTGATGAAAGAAGAGAAAGTAAAATAGAAAAAGACAGAGGAAAAGACAGGGAAGGAGACAGGGGAAGAGATAGTGGAAGAGACAGAGTAAGAAAGAGAGAAAGAGACAGAGGAAGAGACAGGGGAAGAAATAGAGGAAGAAATAGAGGAAGAGACAGAGACAGAGACAGAGACAGAGGAAGAAGCAGAGGAAGAAACAGAGAAAGAGACAGAAGAGAGAATATATCGCACTCCCGATCAGGCAGGCAGCAGGTGTCAATTGACGTGTCGTGTCATTCAATGTCCAGTTGTGACCTAATACGGGAACAATACCTAGGTCTTCTCAATGGAGCACGTCTTGTGCAAGAGGGAGCTTAGGGAAGGTCAGTTTGGACGTCTAGGGTACGTTGGTTCTTGATATGCTACAGACAAAAGCAGAGGCGTAATACCACTGGAATGCAAAATATCAATATCAATATCAATATCAAATTCAGACTCCAAGCTCCAAATCATCCGGTCAATTTTGTTCCCAACTCCAGGCCTTTTCGGTTCCCAAAACACCCTAAACACCCCAAAGAGATATGGTATGCGGTCAAAGCATCCAAAAAGGAAAAAAAGAAAAGCCCTCTATATCCTAATACCACCGATTCCCCTCCTCCCCAAGCGTCTTTTTCTTCGGATTCAGCGAAACAACCCGTTGGCCAGGAAGCGTATCCGCCGTAAAAGCCGCCTCGAAGATACTTGCAATTCCACGTTTAGCATAGTGCGCAAAAGAATCATAATCATCCCTCTTCCCATTAATCGCCTCCCACTCAATCCCACCAGGTGTAGTCCCATCTCCAAGATCACTCCACCGCGTAACAACAATAGATTGCTTGAACCTTTGATCCACCAGATCCTCACTTAGCTTAACCTCAATCAAATATTCAGTCGGGCATTCAGGACACCTCCGCATCGGCCGACAAAACCCACACAGCGTAGTCAGCGCATTCGGATCAAACACCTGTCCCGCAATTCGGTCCTTGACCCGATGCTCAAGGCCCTGCAACCCGCCATTGCTCCGCGGCCGCGGGATATGCTCCAGCGCACACTTACACGCCGGCATCAACTCACCGTCCCGCCAGTGCGCGCATACGCTAAAGTACGGACAGTAGTCGTCACGCGAGTACAGCAGCATACGCTGCGCGGATGGCGTGAGAGCCGGCGCCGCGAACGTTTGACTGGTGACGCGCATTAGGAGCCGCCCTTCGTGGACGTGGAAGCGCGATGCGTGCGACCAGTTATCGCGCTGCCAGCGTCGGCCGAGGACGTCTGGGGCCAGCCCGTAGCGGGGACCGAAGCGGTGGGCGCGCATGGCTAATTGCACGAAGGCGAAGGGGAGATTGCGGCCGTGGGTTATGCGGTGGCGGGGTGGGGGTTTTAGGGTGTTTGTTGAGTTTCGGCAGTTGAAGAGCGGGTTTAGGACGTGGCTGGGACGGATGCGTTCGGTTCCTTCTTGTGTGCGTCTATGGTATTGGACGCAGGGGAAGCAGAGGAGGTGGTGTGGGAGGGAGATGTCGAGGCCGGAGAGGAAGTTGATTTTGTGGGTGTGGTTGTCTGGGTGGTCTAGAGCCATGAGGTATCTTGGGCCTAGCCTTCGGTATAATGTGATGGTGGTGATTGCTAGGCTTGCTGCCTCGGCGGGATTCAGGTATCCTGCTATTTGCGCCCATAGCTTCGGTGGAAGACTTGCTATGTCGCCCTCGCCTGGGGGTCGATGTTCATTGGACTCGTAGTTTGCAGCACTGGGACCGTCGACGTCGAGTGCGCCTAGCGTATGGATGATTTCTGTGTAGTCCCTTCGCTCACCAAGTTGTGAGTCCACTTGCGCGTGCAGTTCCCTGTATTTGAGTCTATGCGCATGCAATGGAGCCAGCTCTGGCATTGGAGGGGCTTCTTCGACACTGGAGCGCGCGGCCAGCCGCAGGTCTGTGGTCGATCTGCTCCCTTTGCGGAGGGTTTGGCGGGATTTCTTAGGACGCAATGCATTAGAGAGGAATGACTTGAAGCCATTCTTCTGGCCAGGACTTTCTGCCGACATCATGGAGTTGCCAATGAATGCAAGTGTTCGAGGCCCAGATGGAGAATATCAGGGTCTTGTGTTTCGGATGCTTGCGGTGATCTTCCGCATTACGCATTACGCGGTCCGCCCGGCCCGGTCTACCACATTGGTTGATACTCGAGGAACAGCAAATAGCTAAAGACGATGATCCCATACTACCAGATAGTTGATACTATTGAAAAACACATGCTACAATACAGGGGTAATTAAGCGCAAGCCATTGGAGCAGTATTTACAAATCAAGTAGAGTCATTTAAGCAAAGCGCTTCTCAGCCGCCTTCCAGTTGATGACATCCCAGATGGCAGAGAAGTACTCGACCTTGCGGTTCTGGTATTGGAGGCTGGAGAAAATAATTAGTATAGGCAATATATCCTCAAAACAGAAATTCTTACTAGTAAGCGTGCTCCCAAGCGTCAATACCGAGCAGAGGCTCGAACTGGCCGACGACGGGGTCCTGGTTCTGGTAAGGGGTTAGTAACTAGATTATCTCAAAGGCGAAGATAGGAATCTCCAATCATGACTTACGGCATAGGTGCGAATTCCGATCTGTCCGGTCTGCTTGTCCTTCACGAGCCAAGCCCAGCCACTGCCCTGAATGCTAGCCAGTGCAGCGTTCATCTTGGACTGGAACTCGCCGATGCCACCGTAGGTGGAGTCAATCGCCTTGGCCAGAGCACCAGAAGGGGGCTCACCACCGCCGGCACTCTTGGGGGCAAGGTTCTCCCAGAAGAGAGTGTGGTTGAGGTGGCCACCACCGTGGAAGTTGACAGCGGGCTTGAGAGCGATCTGGGCAGCGATGTCGCCCTTAGCCTGAGCCTCCTGCAGCTGCTCAATGGTGTTGTTGTAGCTGGTCACATAGGTGTTGTGGTGGTTCTTGTGGTGAATCTCCATGATCTTGCCGGAAATGGAGGGCTCAAGAGCGCCATAATCGTCTTGTTTTAGAGGTTAGTCTAATTCTTTTTTACTCCAAATATATAGATATGGCTTTTCTCTAGCTCTAGAAGGTACTGCAACACCAAACTTACAGGAAAGGTCGGGGAGGGTGGCCTTGCCGCGGGCGAAGGTCAAGCCCGCAGCTCCAGCCTTGGAGGTGGCCGAAGCTCCCGAGCGAAGGGCAACGCGAGCCGAGTTGTTAAGAAGAGCAGCAGCCATTGTGAATGTATGTATTAAGGATGAATATGCGGTGAATAGGAATAAAGAGAGAGTCAATTATGAGAGATGAATGAACTCAAAAGGAAAAAAAGTGGCAGCCGAGCTATGAAGTAACCGCTCCTAACGTCATCTTGTTTTCGTCGGCCCGGATATTGGTTATTCCGCTCCGGCTTTCCACGTGAATTTCATGAGCGCTCGACTGCGACTCATTCTTCCAGGACACTACCGCTTACTTTTACACTTTTGCTGAAAATTGAGGGGACAGTCGATTTGGCTACAACTTGCCAATGACCCCCTGAAAAGATGGAGTCGCCTTCGTTTTCTGGCCAGAAGCGCAAGGTCGCTGACATGAGCTCCGATGAAGAAAGCGCGCCCCCGACCACCGGCTTTCGGGGGTTCGCCAGGGCTGCCTCTCGTTCCGTGACGCCTCCCACTATGGGGGGACTAGGTAGCGGAACCCGCAATAACCGCAACACTATGGCCAACCCTCGAGGTGGAGGATCGTCACGGGGTGGGAAAGGTATGGGAGGTGGCGGTGGGGGGGGAGGAGTCAACAGTTTTGCCGCGCGCATGATGGCAAAGATGGGCTACAAGGAAGGCCAAGGTCTCGGAACTACTGGCCAGGGTATCGTCAACCCGATTGAGGTACAGGCGCGTCCCCAGGGTGCAGGCTTGGGCGCAGTGAGTGAGAAGTCGAAAAAGACTCGCGAAGAAGAGCGACGAGCAGCTGCACAGAAAGGCGAGATCCTCGAAGACAGCTCTGAGGATGAACGGCAGCGGCGGCGAAAGAAGAAGGAGGAGCGCAAGGCACAGGGCCGGAGCGCCACAGGTACACCAGTCCAGCGTGCGAAGCCCAAATTCCGCACAGCGCGTGAAATTGAGGATGATATGGAGGGTCTGGATGTTCCCAATGTTCTCAAATCACTCGTAGATGCCACCGGAAAAGAGCAGCGTGTTCTCACTTCGACTGCTGGCTTAATGTCGACACAGCAATTCGTCAGCCAAGAGGAAGGAGAAGCATTAAAGATCGCCCAGCGAGCCCGGAATGACCTAGAAGCATTTGCGGATGAATGGAAGGGATTGAAAGAGAGAAAACAGTACATCGAACTCGAAGAGGCTCAGGTCGTGGACGAATTGGATGCATATCAATCCCGGATCAACCATCTAACAGGCCTAATCGCCGCAGTGGAAGAATTAGACATCTTTGAAAACGAGGAAAGCATCACAACCAAATTTGATGAGTTGACGACCAAGCTTGAAGATATGGAATCCAAATATCGAGATGCTGTTGATGAGCACCGACTCCCAGAGACCGCAGTCGCAGCCCTACATCCGTTATTCCGCCAAGCCATGGAGGAATGGGAGCCACTCCAAGATCCCACCTTCCTCGTGTCCAACCTCACCCGGCTTCAGCCTCTTCTGTCTCGCACGAACAAGTTAGAAGAGCCCCGGAAACGTGCATCCACCTCACCTTACGAAACGATGATCTATACCCTCTGGCTCCCACGAGTGCGCTCAGCACTTCTGAATGATTGGGACGTTTACGATCCGTCCAAGGCAACCGCGCTGGTCGTGGCCTGGAAGGCAATTGTACCGCCATTTGTGTATGCAAACGTTCTCGACCAATTGGTCATTCCCAAGGTGGGCCTGGCGCTCAAAAACTGGAAACCTCGAGCTAGTCGACGGCACGCCGGCTCTGAACAAGATGGAAAGTTCCCCTGGTGGCTTTTCACTTGGCTTCAATACTTAGATGAACGACACACAAACCCGAAACAGCCCACTGATCTCATGTCTGACGCGAAGAGAAAGTTCCGCTCGGTACTCGACACATGGAGTCTGCGCAAGGGTCTTGTCGATCGCGTTGAGGTCTGGCGGGATGCCCTAGGATCCGAATTCGATGTATGCCTACGCAACCACCTGCTGCCACGTCTTGCGCGCCACCTTCGCGAACACTTCACCGTGAACCCGCAAGATCAAGACCTTACAGCGCTCAAGGATGTCTTATGCTGGAAGTTATTCTTCCAGCCTAATGTCATGGGACTATTGCTAGTCTCTGATTTCTTCCCAAAGTGGCACGAGATCCTCTACATCTGGCTCACCAACGACCCCAACTACGAGGAGGTCGGAGCTTGGTTCTCTTGGTGGCGCACTCAGATTCCGGTGGAGATCAATGAGCTTACCATCGTCGACGAAGAATGGAACAAGGGCCTGCAAACCATGGACCTTGCCTTACAGCTGGGCGACCGCGCCGCCGCCGAACTCCCACGCCCAACTACGGTACGGGCGACGCTTCCTACCCGCGAAGATAAGGTGGCAGCAGCCGCCGCAACTGCCGCAGCGGCTGCTCCCGAACCCCGGATTAAGGCGCCAGTTGTGGAAGAAGTTGCGTTCAAGGACATCCTGGAGGGCTGGTGCATGGAGCAAGGACTTATCATGCTACCCTTACGGGAGGCTCATCCGCAGAACGGCCAGCCGTTGTTCCGTATTACGGCTAGTGCCACAGGCAAAGGTGGAGTCGTGGCCTTTGTTCAAGGAGATGTGGTGTGGGTGCAAAATAAGAAGGCGAAGGAGATCTGGGAGCCAATGGGTCTGGAGGATCAGCTAGTAGAGCGTGCAGAGGGCCGATAAATCATGACCGGTCATTTGACTCTGCATCAAGTGGATTGACATTGTAATTAAACAAAAATGTACCTATTCAAGATATCCAACCTTTGCCCTAAGCAAGCTCATGGTACATATTGCTGTGCCCTCCTGGGTATGTAATTCAGGCTACCTACTTTTTGGTCTGTCCCCAGTACAACTGGACGTTCAAGCAGGACTGCACTACCTAGATATCATCTCCTAATGTCCTACATGATGTCATGGGTGAGTAAGAAGGAATATGTACATCGTGCTATTCCAAGTTTGAGGATGCAACAATGCTGTAAATTACTAGGCTTTTGCTCCAACACTATCCAGGTACTATAAATGCAAAGGCATTTCTATAGGTCTCCAACGCTTTGTTTTCATTGTCTTTGAATCTGGTTTTAATTGGTGAAGCATACCTCTCACATAATGCCAAGCAATCCAGACAAAGACCATGTAATGATGTTCAACTGACGAGCGAGTGCCAGGTTGTGGCAGACATAGAAAAGTCCATCCACTATCTATCCCAAAGGCGTATCTAATTCCGATCGGATTTAAGACTCTCGGGATATTCGTTCTTTTTTTCGGTTAATTCTCGGGGATAGCAAACTCCATAAATTTTCCGAGATCCGAATACTCGGAGCTAAGCATGTAGAATGGACTCCTTATTCGATGCTACATACCATCATCGGTGTTAACAATCGGACCGGTGAATATCGATCCTTCTGAGCCTACCTATAATATATCCAGCCAATCAGAACCCTCTGGATACCCTAGTGGGTCTCCAGATCTCCAAGAGACCCACGGGGAATGCGGATCGCCGTTCGCAGCCAATCACATCACCGACAAAGGTCAGCACAACATGCTTCACCAATCGTATCGATTGGATTTGAAGTGACTTGTTGCCATTTTCTCATCAAAGTGGACAAATCTGATGCCTTATAGCTCCTAGGCCTTCATTTGACTGCCGGAGCTGACATTTAAGAGCCCTGTGATTGGTCCTGGACCAATCCTTGGCGAATAAACCTCTATTCTTTCCTGTTTGGTCTACATACACTGTGGGCTTTTGCTGGGGGTTTTTTTTCTATGGCGCCTGGGTTGCTGAAACCGGTGAGTCCGTGGGACTGAGTGTTAAAAGGGGTGAGACGTGGCCGATCATTGTAGATGATTTCTTTTTTCTTCTCTTCATACTTCGTTTCATAGTCTTTGTTGATATCCGTCCAAGACTAAGACACCCATTCCGCATTCTTTTGCTGGATCAAATAAAGTGCAATTATTCTCCAGCTTTTCCTTGATCAACCCATCTCCTTCCTCTCGCCAACGTGTAATTGAGTGGTGAAACTTCTGCTTTACATCGTACCTTGGAGATATCCAAAAGCATATCGTGGTAGCAATTTCGGATTAGCATCATGGCATTCCTCTTCATCAAGCAGAAGCTCTTTCCTACAAAGGAAGCAGACAAATTACACTCAGGTAAGTGAAGGAAAGAGAATACATTCCCATGGAGGCATATACTTACGACAATTCAACTTCAGGCAAGCGCCTCCTCGCCCACAGTGACGACGACGATACCATCCGTGGAGACTGCGATCAAGACCTCGAGTCCCAAAGCAGCCGTTCCTACGACACCTTCGGACGGTGCAACAGCCCGGACGAATCAACAACAACAACCGCCAGCAGCAGCAGCACCCGCTCGCGGATCAACCCACGTATCGTTTCAGATGCCATCCTCGGTCTGTCAGACGGGCTGACAGTGCCCTTCGCCTTGAGTGCGGGTCTTTCCGCACTTGGAAACACAAAAGTGGTTGTGCTGGGTGGACTCGCCGAGCTGGCAGCCGGAGCCATCTCCATGGGACTTGGTGGATACGTCGGTGCAAAGAGTGAAGCGTAAGTTGTCCACATATGGCAACCAAATCAGCACATGTACTAACAAACACCAGTGAATCATATCAAACAACAGTTCGTGAAACACAACAATTGATCCAAACGGACTCGCAAGAGACTCGTGCCATGGTGCGCGAGACCTTCTCTCCATACGGGCTCTCAGACTCGGCGGTTGCGGATATCACGCGTGGCTTGCATGCGTCTCAAGACCGTCTCCTTGAGTTCCTGCTTGCTTTCCATCATCGAGAGATGGCCCCTGACTGTAACCAGGCGTGGACTTCGGCCGTCACGCTCGCACTTGGTTATTTCATTGGCGGGTTCATTCCGCTTATTCCGTACTTCATTGCCGAGCAAATTACAAGTGCACTGTACTGGAGTATTGGTGTTATGGCGATTACCTTGCTTGTGTTTGGATATGTTAAGACCTGTGTTGTACGCGGCTGGTCTGGCCGGGCAAATGTGTTGGCTGCGATCTGGGGCGGAGTGCAGATGTGTTGTGTTGGAGGTGTCGCTGCTGGTGCGGCCATTGGATTGGTTCAGTTCATTGATATGGGCAGTACCAGTACTTGACAAGCTGATTGTGATGGTACTGACGAGGTTCACGTTGCATTGAGCGTTCATGCATTGCAGCAGTCGGAGTTTTCTTTGATTTCTCTCTACTCCTACTGTTTTTCATTCTGGTTTGACTCGGTTATTGATGGGTCTATCAGCGGGCGTTTCGGAAAACGCTGCAAAAAGCCTGTATTATACACATTTAACGAAACATAATTCATTTCACATTGACGATATCAAGTTACATGACTTCCTATCCAAAGACATTAGAACTGGTTACCTTGGACATATGGATATATAAAACAAATAATTTATAAGCCCAACGCAAAGAATCACCCACTCAACGCAATCCCAACCAACTTCTTCGCCTTATCCGACAACTGAATCTTCAAAGCCTCCTCTCTCCCCCGCTCCGACATCTTCCCCCAAGTCTTCCTCAAAATATCGACCATCTTCTCCTCATCCGCAAGCTCTGCCTCAAACTTATCAAACTGATCATCCAAAAAGACAAGACAAGCAACATCCTCCAGAGTCTGCGTATCAGGATCTCCCTGCTTAAGATCTGCCTTACGCACCAGCGCGCCAACCCTCGCTGCCTCCTCAGCCGAATACCCACTCTCAACACAGATCTGCTCGACCAGCGCAGCCTGTCTTCTCTGCAGGCCCGCCCGCCACGAGTGATACCCGATCTTCGTGGCGGGGTAGCTGTCCCGCGGCACTTCCCAGCGGCGTAGATGTTGAGCGCGGATTGCGAGCCGCAGGAGCTCTGGTGCAGATGGGTTCAATGTTGAGAGGTAGCTGGTCATTTTTTGGGCGTAGTGTAGTTCGTATGGGACTGGGCCGGTGGCTGTTTGGGCTTCGCGGGGGTCGTCGGCGTGCGCTGCGTCGATACGCTCGAGGGCTGTTTCGTATTTGGTCATTTTTGTGGGGCTGGGTGAGGTAAATGAGGTGGATGATTTATTTTTGAGTGATGCGATTCGGTGAGAGGGGTTTGGGCTTGGGATCAATTGGACTTGGTTCGTGTTTGAGGGCTGTCTGAGTCGATTGATATGCGGTTTTTGGATAAGAATGGACGCTAGTCTAGATGTGGCTTAGCGTGAGTAGTAACTGGGGGCTTCTAATTGGTGGTTGAATATGTATACATCCATTGGTGCATGGTACACAACTACATACCTGTAGGCTTGACAATAACTACAATAGCCATGATGGCTAATTAGCACAACTGCTAAATCTCTCCTATTAAAAAAGCATTCATTTAAATTGACACCACAAGACAGTGGTGGATAATCTCTACATATCTATCTATAGGATTTGCTCTTCCACATGAACTTCGAACAGCAAAGAAAGACACCTAGATAACATCAGTATCCAGCCCGCTGGGGATTAGCCTGCGAGGAACCGTTTCTGGACCGAGCACTGTCGTAATTACAACACGCAACAGCAACAAAAATTACACAATCACAATCACGATGAGGTGCTACCCTTCTTATCGAAGGAGAGCATCTCTCGCGAAATATCAGAGGGCGTCTCCACGTGGTAAGTCCTCCCCTTTTCAAAGATCCGCGCCACCTCCTCTAGAGATAGACCTTTAGTCTCCGGGAAGAGGAAGTAGATCGTCGCCCCGAAAATCACCAGACAACCCAGATACACCGTGAAGTATCTCCAGTGGATTGCCCCCAGTGCGATCGGGTTTATAAACTGATTGAAGAAGCAAGCCATCGAATCGGTGGTCAGAGTGATGGCAAGACCCTTGGCGCGAAGTTGGAATGGCAGTATTTCAGCTGGGTATGCAATAAACAAGGGCATATATGCCATATCGTAAGCGCTGCAAAAGAGGAATAGCATAGGAACCACCGCAATGCCAGCTTCCAGCACATGAAGCTCTTGAAAGAGACCAGACATAGCCGTTGCGGCGGATAGATAGATGAACATCAACAATGTTGCGATTAGCCAGAGTTTTCGTCGTCCGTATCGGTCTGCAGCCATTGCTCCGCAGACCGCAAATGCCAGGTTCCACACCTGCATGCTTATATTGATGGCGGCCTGGTAAGATGCATTATATATACCGACTGATTCTAGAATCGGTGCTAGATAATATGAAACAACGCCTGAGAGGAGAAACTCGGTTAGAAATTGGGTCGGGACGAAGGGGGTTTTGTGTGCTTTCATACCATTTCCAGACCACTCTTGCATGAATCCCAGGATAACACAAATGGATAGACGATGCAAGTTGCTCCGGGTAGTGAAGAAAGTGCTCCAGCGCCGGCAGCTCTTATCAGATTCCGCGTTGATGCTCTTGCAAATCTGGTAGAATTCGTCTTGAACAAGTTCGTCGTGTCTATCTCCATTGGCGTGGTATCTTGCTAATATAGCCATTCCCTCCTCTTTCCTGCCCCGAGACACCAACCATCTTGGACTCTCGGGAACAAAGCAAAGCCCTACCAATTGAAGGACCGGATAAAACACCTGCGTTAAGCAGGGGAGTTTCCATGACCAACTCCCTAGAATCGTGAGTCCAGCAAAACCAATAGCAGCCGATGTGATCGACCCAATGAACCAAAGTGCATTGTAGAGACCCGTGAAGGCCTGTCGCTGGCGTGGATGTGACGATTCAGTGATGAGCAAAGGCGCGGCAGTTTGCGAAACTCCAACCCCCATTCCAGCTAGAATACGGGCGGCGAAAAAGACCCAATTGTTGTTTGTGGCGACTTGAATAATTGAGGCGATGATCACTAGCGAGGAACCGATGAGGACGCAGATCCTCCGCCCCAGATTGTCGGCAATGTAAGATCCGGGGATGAACGCGCAAAATGATCCCAGCGAGACAGCTGCAATAATAAGGCCTCTCTCATTTGTGTCAAGACCATCCAAAAACTTTGAGACTGTTTTTAGTTAGCGTCGGGTTCCCATATAGCATGTATATGTATAGATACATACATTCGGGAAGCACCAGGAGGCCATTGATCATGCTAGCACAATATCCGGCTGTAGCCGATGCAGATAACATAAACCCGATCCCCAGGTTTAGTCTCCGTAGCCCTGGATCTTTCATCCAGCTGCTGTTGGTGTTGTTCTGCAAGACCTTGGAGGCCATGTTTGGCGATATGCTGCAAAGACCGTGAGTCTCGTGGAATATTTTTCCGAGACCTTGAACTCCGAGCTGTCAAGCTCTTTTATTTAAACACTAAAGATTAATTGATAAAAAAAAAACCTCCGAGTGACAATCCGCCCCAACATTCCTCACATTTATCCAGGATCCGAGCTCTCCGCGCGAGGTTACAGCTGTAGCTAAGGAGTAGGAATGAAGGGAGGGAAGTCAAATGATCCGATCACCGGACAATTTTCCTTAGTTTGCTCCGATCTAAGAGCTCAGTTGTGAGACGCTTGTCAACATGCCTGTTTGAAGATTGCGATTGGAAGTTGAGTTTCCAAGGCCTTGGGTAGCTTGGGTGCTTGAGGAATGCCCGTAGCTCTCATAGCTCCCTGCCCTCACCTTTAGCCATGAGGATCGTTGCCTAAGTCTAGCTTGGGATTCGAATCCATAGCCTCCGTATGGATTCCCTTGATTATTGGATTCGCGATAGATCGACTCGCCCTTATGCAGGGACTTGTCTCTGGGGAAACGCTGTAAGGAAAAGCTCCTCCGAAGACTTTCCAGGGAACAAACGGGATTTCATTTCCTTTTCTTTCTTGGTTTTTTGAGGCAGCTCGGTGTACCTCCTCCCCCCATACGACGTCACTTGATATTTGAAAAAGCCTGATCAAGGAGAGTCTTGAATCAGGAAGGCGTAGCGGCGCGGAATGATATTACTGAGTACTGACGCGGACAGCCTTATGGCACCAATCGGAACACTCATTAGGATATCCCGGTGGCTTATGGTTTCCCCCTGCTTAAGAGTTGAAGTAGATCCGGGAAAAGTAAACCTTACTGTGTAGATATGACTGTTAGTGACACTGCTAGTCAGTAGATGAGATCATGAGCCATGAAGTCCAATAGTGTATCACTGTGATGTAGACCGTAGAGAACTATGTAAGAGAGAGGAAAGGAACACTGTAGAAATCCTATTACAACAGAAAGTGATCATGTGATATGAAGTCCGAACCCTGATGATGGTTAATCTTGCTAGATTCGAAGCGCTTCGGATGTCACATACAGGAATAAAATTCACCCTATTAATTTTCCTCTCACAGAAAGCTCTGAAAATATTGTATGTTCATAATATTCATAAGAATAAACCTCCAGCAGGAATCCAAGGTCGATTTATGAATTTATGGCTTTTGTTTGAGCTCGTTTAGTTCTTCGTTCTTGGTTCTTGGTACCTTAGTACTTGAAAAGCTTGGAAGCTTACATAGACCTTGGGAGTCCTATGCTTTAGATATTGCGCGAGTATCTTCCTTTACCTTCAAAATGTATATATCCAGCTATTCTGTGAATTGGCTTTTAATGGGTGACAAAATTGTGGATATATATATTCGGAGAAATATGTTCGGAGAATACGGAAAAAACACTACGAAAGTCAAAACTTGACAATTTCCACACACAAAGATTGATAGGTACTACAAGCCCTACACAGAGCGATAATTTGTTATTTCTGTTTCAAGGACAAACATAAAATTGTGCTGTCGGCAAAATTGAACACATATAAACCACCGAGATGAGCACCGAGATCCTCACGGGACTCCAAGGTTGGCTCTAGTTTCCAGTCACCACCGGAGAAACTCGACACCCAAGACCCTCACTAATGCAATAGATATCGTCTCTCGTATTATAACTCGTCAATTTAATTAAGCCAAGAGAAACTCCGCTGGCACTGCCACGATGCCAAGGCACTCAAGTTGTTCGAGACACCGAGTGTCTTGGCGTGAGCTTACCCCTAAACCTTAGATCGGAGGAAGGTTTTTTGTTCCTTATCTGATCTTCATCTTGAGCCCTACCATCAGAGTCCTACATTGAGCTACCTCGGTCAACTTTGACTCTGACCTCGACCCAACCACACAAAATGTCACTCCTCGACGACCCTCTAAACCTCAATCAATATAAAACAACTATATCCGAACCAAAAAAGAACTGGGTCCCATACTCTTTCAATGACGAGAAGGAAAAGCTCACGGACTTCTACAAGGAGCAAAATGAAATGATCGAAGGTTTCCTCTCCGCCGGCGAGGAAGAGCGCCTGAAAGCCGAAGACGAAGCCCAAAACGGCGGCAAAGTAAAGCTTGCCGTGCGCGCCAGCTTCACGGTCAACTTCTTCCTCTTCGTGATTCAGCTCTACGCAGCTGTGACAACAGGTTCTCTAGCCCTCTTCGCCACCGCCGCAGACGCCTTCATGGATCTCGTCTCGTCCGTTGTTATGCTAGTCACGTCGCGTATGTCCTCGCGCCCAAAGCCATACAAGTACCCCGTTGGACGGCGCCGCGTGGAAACAATGGGAGTGATCATGTTCTGTGCGTTGATGACCATCGTGGCGGTGGAGCTGATCATTGAATCAGCTAAGACCCTTGCGGGGGGCAAGACCGAGTCCGGGCAACTGGATATTGTGCCGCTGGTTTGTGTGGGCGTTGCGATCTTCTCCAAGTTCGTCATGTTCTTGTACTGCTATGGCTTGCGTCGCTACCCGGCTGCTCATGTCTTTTACATTGACCACCGCAATGATCTGGCTGTTAATGGGTTTGGGTTGATCATGTCGATTGTGGGTGATCGATTCGTTTGGTATCTTGATCCTGTAGGCGCGTGCTGCATTGCCCTGCTTATTCTGTTCTCGTGGGCGTCGACTGCGTTTGAGAATATGTGGTTGATTGTGGGCAAATGTGCCCCCCGTGAATTTGTGAATAAGTGTATCTATGTGACACTGACTCACGACCAGAGGATTCAGAAGGTGGATACGGTGAGTTGTGGAAATGGATTGAGTGGATTGGTTATCGGCATTTCGACTAATAGTACATAGTGTCGTGCTTATCATTCTGGACAGCAACTCTATGTTGAGGTTGATATCGTCATGGACCCCGAGACGAAGCTTCGGGAGTCTCACGACGTAAGCCAAGCGTTGCAGCGCAAATTGGAAGGTCTCGCAGATGTCGAGCGAGCCTTTGTGCATGTGGATTATGATTATCTGCATGATGTCAACGAGGAACACAGGCCGCTCTACGAGATTGGTGGAGCGAAACACTCCATCAGAGCTTTGGTGAAGCGATTGTGGTCTAAAAACAAGGAGCCGACAGAGGGGACTGCTGTGTGAGAAGTTTTGGTTATATCATGGTTGAGCTGGTCTCCAATGTCGCGGAATGTGATTCGGCCACAGAATAGAAATTCAATAAACAAAATTAATATCATTATCGGCTTTATGAGTGCCGAAAGTAGATTCTCAGTCGCAGGTCAATTTGGTATCAGGTATAAAAGCAGAACATGGTATCAACACAACCTGGAATAGTCAAAAAAACAATTTCACAACATGATATCCATCTCATATCAATCCAGCTTAAACGGCAGCGCTTCTCTTCTTAGTCCTTGCAAACATGCCGTATGGCTTGACACTAAAAGCGCCATTGAAATTCTTCCCTTCCATATCAAATGTATAGTCTTTATCCGCCAATTCAAAGTCAACATCCTTAATGATGCGAACAAGTGCATGCAACGACCATTCCCAAGCATACCGTTTGCCGTAACACTCACGCTTCCCGTTTCCGAACCCCTTCTTCACACCCGCTGGGAGTCGGTCAAAGGCCTCACCGAGCATGCGCTCGGGCTTGAAAGCATTGGGATCATCAAAAACAGCAGGATCGCGGTTGACAGCAGACAGGATTGCAATCATGGTTTGGGACTTTGGAATCTCGTATTTTCCTCCACCGAGTAGGACCGGACCATCGGTGGGCAAAGACTCGATGTTGAAACCCGGGGCTGGGGCGCAGAGACGGAATGATTCACGGAGGATAGCTTCGCAGTAGGGTAATTGGGAGAGATGAAAGTGTTCGATTTGGCCGGAGGGACCGATGAGGGTATCAATCTCCTCACGGGCACGGGTGACCTCGTCTGGGCTTTTGGCGAGGTAGTACAGAGTGAAGGAGATGAGATTCGGGGTTGTGGCGCTACCGATGAAAATGTTGATTATTTCGTCGATGACCCGGCTGTCTGGAAGGGATTCTCCGGTTTTCGGGTCTTTTTCGTGAAGAAGGGCGTGTAGCAAATCTTTCTTTTCGATAGGATTGTTACGTCGCTTGGCGATAATCTGAGCGCAGTAGTCACGACAAATCTTGATATCTTTGCCAAATGTACTCTGGTACAAGAGCCGATTGAGGAGTTTAGGGCGCGTGGATCGACTCACGGCCTCGAAGGTTAGATCCGACATAGCTTTGATGACGGCGGGTTCTTCGCCGAGGACGCAGTCTACATGCTGACTGAAGAAGCACTTAATGTTGGCGGCGTGGTTGAGTCGGTCCAAGTCATTAGTGACATCCACACGCTGCCCGGTGGTGTCTGTTGAAGTCCATTTCCAGATTAAATCATCTGTCGTGAGTTGTATATCCGTATGCATTTCCTTAACGGCTTCGGGAGACACGAAAGGGGCCATGATACGATGCGCGATGCCCCAGCTTTCCTCGTAGTCAAACGCAGTGAAGAGACTGTCGTGGGCAAGATTGCGGACCTCGACAATAGGACCGGTGACACATTTTCGGAATCGCTTCTCATCACTTATTTCCTCGAGGAGAGTTGCATTTGTAATGAAGACAAGTTGCTTGGTGAGGATTTTGATTTTGAAGATACCAGCACCACCGTGTTCTGCTGCCAGCTTGTTTAAAGAAGCCCAGGTATTTCCAGGGATCATATCAAAGAGGTTTCCAATAATTGGAAGCCCCTGGGGTTGAGGAATAGGTGAAGGCATATTGTCTATACACTAGAGAGTAATTGAGTTGATAATTTTTCAGAATTCTAATGGCGAACTACTTTCACTTATCAAGGTAAGCAGGAGAATTCGTCACAAGTGCCAAGCGTGCACGAGCTAGGATATCACAGCAAGCGTCCTGTGGCATATGACTACTATTGAAATGACAAGCCTCTGAATGACCCACACTTAGGTTTGGGGGCATCGTGATTAGCCTGGATATTCCGTATCCTTGTCCAATTGGGCGGGATGGGATTGTCAGGAACTCGAGGCGCAGTTGAGGTGCAGTTGAGGTGCAGCTGAGATGCAGCTGAGATGCAGAAGAACTACCCCGCATACGTGAAATGTGATAATGTGATACGTGATGTGATCATATGTAGGGTACACCGGATTCTAGGCCACAGTCACGTTGTTCCCGGAGTGCCCGCTTTATGAGGTCTCCTTTCATACTACTCTGTCCCTCTATTTTTGGTCCTTACTACGGAGGCCCAAGAATGCACAGTCGACTTGATTTCTAAGGCATCACGAGACAGCTTCCGTCGCCAAATGGATGCTCAAGCTCTTGAGTATTGGGTTGAAGGTGTTTGTCTCGCTTCAACACATGCGGGAGAAATGATGACATAATGTAACAGGCATGCCAGGCGTCAGAGGTGGATCCCGAGCAAGAACCAATTCAACACTTTCCTCTCTTTTCAATACGGTCACAGAATGATGTTGTCATTTCATGTAGAGAACTCTTCTGAAGATTATTGGAGAGGACCCAAACCGAAACGTCTCAAGATCAGTATCGCATGTAACGTCTGTAACGTCTGTAAAGCCAAGAAAACAAATTGCGATGGCGCTAGACCTGGTAAGCGAATCAAACGAACTCGATAGGGTGCGATCGGTATTATGCTCATACTAAAGGAAACAGAGTTCGCAATCATGTATATACCGTATATACCGCGGGGCTGATCTAGTCTCTGCCTCATCAAACATCCCGTGAGTATTTGGAATAGACTTACCATCAAAGCATGCAATAGCCAAGACTCTCATGATCCTTGCCTTGTGACTCCTTTGTTGTGGTCCATTAGCTATAGATCAGCTTTACACATTGAGCCACATATAGTTCATGCACTGCCCAAGATAAGGCTATGATCGACAACGCCTTCTGTAACACCGAACAGCCACGAAACAGGAGAGAATGTTCAAACAACCGATCTCAAAATGAAGATAACGATGACGCCAGCTTGTACAGCGGAGGCGTACTAACGGTAGTCTTTTTGGCCTAAGGCCGTATTCCTGGTTCGACAAGATATATGATAGCCCCGTTCCGAAATTTGAAAGTCCCCAAGGTGGTCCCGAGGCCCGAAGGCTAGAAATCGCACCGGAGATGCCGACTTTGCCCTTAATCGCCCTTCTCTCGGAACTCGGCATATGAGATATTGGTTGGTTTCTTTCGGGCCGGCTCCGACATCCAAAATTGTGAAAACAGGCGCGCTTCCGAGGTACATTTTCCCGATTATGAATGTAGACTCCGGTTCCCTTGAGTAATTTGATTGGTTAGCTTGAGGGCTTAGAGACTATTTATTAGCCTCACTGCACGCGCTGTCGATTATAGAATGTCAATTTAAAGAGAGCTCAGAACAAACGCCAACTAGTCAAAAGAAACATGGCTCTTCCTCCCATTAAAACTGTCGGTGTGATCGGCACTGGTGTCATCGGCGCCAGTTGGACGGCACTGTTCCTGGCTAGAGGCTTGAAGGTCATTGTGACGGATCCGGCACCGGGGGCTGATAGCAAACTCCGTGATTATTTGCTGAAGCATTGGTCAACTATACCCAATGCGAAAGTGACACAAGCCGATTACTTGAACAATCTCAAATTTGTCAAGGAAATCGACCCTCACCTTGGAGATTTAGATCTAATTCAAGAAGTGAGTTGGTCATTGCAAAAAAAAAAAGAGTTTCCTTCGAGTCTGTTGCTAATCGACCTGTCAATATAAGAATGGACCAGAAAGGCTGGACTTCAAACGCCGTCTTCTCGCTCATTTGGACGCAAATACCCCCGAGCACGTAGTTATCGCATCATCGTCCTCCGGCCTCCCTTCGTCGGAATTTGTCACTGAATGCAAGAAAAACGCAGCCCGTATTTTGATCGGCCATCCCTTCAACCCTCCACACCTAGTGCCCTTGGTGGAGGTAGTTCCCCACCAAGGAACGGGTGATGCGTACGTGACAGCTGCGCTCCAGTTCTACCGCAGCCTGGGCAAAGATCCGGTGCTCGTCAAGAAGGAGACACCTGGGTTTATTGCGAACCGGCTTCAAGCGGCTGTTTGTGCTGAAGCATATAGCCTCATCTCGAGAGGAGTTGTCTCAGCTGAAGACCTTGGTTGGTATTACCCACTTGAGCGGATGTGTGTGAATTGCTCTGACTTGATTAGATAAAACTGTGACATCTGGCCTTGGTCTTCGTTGGGCTTTAACTGGACCTATCATGACCAACACTCTTGGGGGAGGTGGAGACTTTAACCATTTCATGGACCACCTGGGACCGGCGTTGAAAACATGGTTAGATGACATGCACCAGCATGAATTTGACCTGGATTCTCAAGACGTCCTTAAAGAGAGAGTGAATGAGTGGATATCGCACGTCAACTTGAAAGAGATTGAAGAAAGTCGGGACAAATTTTTGGTTGGCTTGATCAGCAGCAAATCGGAGTGTTCCTCATAAGGATCATAAGCATCCAAAAGGGGTGGAGCGATGTACATAGATTGCAAATGTGATGTCCTTCATGTCGATAAGCAAAACGTGCAAGTGTGGTTAATAATAACGATATTAAGTCGCTTTGAGCTAAATTTTATGTCCTTTCCGCAAGATAAATAGAATAAAGATATCCCGCAGTTAATAGAGTAACAATTTACAACTAATTTATGTCTTAGGTCAAATAATAGCTGTCAAACTTGAGAAACGCGTTCTAAATCGGCTGATGTTGTATGCAGTTGAGTCACTTTTACCTCCAACACACAAATCGACAAAACTTTCAAAAAAAAAAAGGAAGACGGTCATCAACAAGAGATAGATATTGGCACATCAAATCACAGGCGGACGACTTGTGCAGAGTGTTGAAGCAACTGGCTGCCGGTCTTGAGCTCCAAAGGTTTCGCCAGCAGGGCTGGGGCCTTCTTAATGAGTTCCTGGAAATAAGGTGCAGCACGATGCTTATCCAATGCAGCCTGGTTTGTGTATCTGAAAAGAAGGTTGTTAAAAATGGGACCAACAATAGAGATTGTCATGGAACAAAAAGAGAAAACCGAGCACAGAGCGTGGACGCACCTTTCAACTACTACGACCTCATTCTTATCAGCAATAGAGTAGGCATAGTAGACAGTAGTCTCGGGCTCATGCTCCTGCACATTTCGGGTAACATTGGCTAATTCGGCTGCGAGCTATAGATAGGACGCGAGACACAGTTTGTCAGTTCAAAATATTCACATTAGGGAAATGATTTGACTTACTTCCTCAAGCTTTTCCGGCTTGGCCGTAAGAATAGCAACTTGGTTGATAACTTCGGACATTTTGAGCTAGTGACTTTACGCAGAGATATAAAACGAAATATGAAAGAAAGTTATTACAACCAACTTCCCAGGGCATAATATACTGATGTACTCCAAAACAAGGTTGATGATGCACCTCGGCATCATAGACAGATTAGTAATCCAGGAACAGAAATGGGAGCTTCCCGAGGTCTGCACCTGGGCACTGCCGAAGGCTTACAAAGATAGTAGCTTAAGTTAATTTTATTCACTTGGGTAACTCAGACTATACTGTTAGAGTGTACTGTTACTACTTGCCACAGTTTAAGTGTCTCGTAGAATAGTACAATGTATAGTATCTGTGACAAACGGAGAATTCCACCGGACATGTTGACTAAACCTAAGTCTACTTTATGATGGGATTCGCTATTCCATAGTCACATGACTTCCCAGGGAATAAAAGTCTCCGGGAGTTGGATCCCGTGACATTTCTCCTGAGAGCCGGGAAGCCGAGACTATCGGCTTCAAAGGTTCTCCGGATTCCCAAGTTGAAGTGGGTCAACTACGTCAAAAGAGTTTTAAATATGGCTCCACAGTTAATAGATGAGCCCACCTACAACTGTAAAATATCGGAACATCCCAATTAGGCTTCCGACTGTACTCCGGAAACGACCAATCTGGAAGTCTCGACAGGGGAGAAACCGGTTGGCTTGTCCGTACTTGGTAATAGTCAATTGCCTTAAAATATAGTAACCGCTCTCGAGCTCGTAGTATGCAACGGATAGAGTACTTAAGGTAATGGGTTGCTGCGCAGTTGACTTACCTAGCAACTCTTTCCAGCGCAAAAGCTGAATCACTTGATTTATTTTGATCGCTTTATACTCTTAAAAATGGTCGAATCTCCCCTTGCTGCGGCACGTACAGGTCGACTCTATCTCCTTGACGTGGGCCGTTCAACATATCCAGAACACAATGGCCGAAGTCTTACCTGCCGATCGGATGGTTCTCATATCCAGGAGTTGATTACCAACATCAGAAGTCTCCCCAACGGACTCGCCGTTGACACGGATCACCAGCACATATACTGGACAAATATGGGAATCCCCGCTGACAACGACGGGTCCATATAAAGCTGTGATTTGTCCGGTGATAATGTCGTGACGATCATCCCAAAAGGCCAGACATATACACCGAAGCAGATGACTATTGCGCCGAAGTAAAAAAAAAAAAAACTGTACTGGCCAGACTGAGAAGGAATGAGAGTTGTGAGGGCGAATATGGATGGTAGTGACATCGAGGTGCTTTACCAGGCTGTGGATGCGCAGAACTGGTGTTTTGGCATTGCTGTGGACGACGGGTCTAAGTCTGTATTTTGGACGCAGAAAGGACCACCGAAGGGGAACAAGGGACGGATTTTCCGAATGGGTCTCGACACGAAAGACGCAGAGATCCAGCTCCTTCTGGATAATCTTCCGGAACCCATCGACTTGGAATTGGACCATGCTTCTGGAACACTGTACTGGAGTGATCGTGGTGACCCGCCACATGGGAACTCTGTAAATTGGGTGGCCCTTGCGGATGTGTCAGCGAACAACTTGCAACCAAAGGTCTTGGTTTACAAGCTTCATGAGGGGATTGGACTTGCCCTGGACCTGAAGAATAACCGCATGTTTTTCGGCGACCTTGGAGGGTCTCTGTACCGTGCTAATCTGGATGGGTCCTGCAAGCACACTATTTTCCCTGACATCGGAGGTGCGGTCACAGGGGTAGCCTATGTTGGAGAGTAGTTGATGCATTGGCGCATTGAGGCATTGCTTACATGCAACTTGGCAGACCCCTCTTTGCTCATTTGTGGCTTCGGGCCTTTGCCCCCTTTGTCCCCATGAAGCTAACTTACAGAGCTTCATGGTAGTAGTAAGATCATCATTAGCATTTACTGTTTCCAATCGATTCGTCTGGCTCCTGCACCCTAGGAAAGAACCCATCAGTCGATACAGTTTGAACTTTGTCGATGATATTCTGGCAGTGAAGTTTGAGGTGAGGGTAGTTGTCCTTCAAAGCGTACGTCGACCGAAGGCTCAACCCTGCAATCGGACCCATCTATTGTGCAGGGTCTTCCAAAGGCGACGGCAGCATACCTGGTGCGTCTGGGCTTGGAAATGGAAGAGCAAGAAAAGAAAGGACATGGAGTATCAGTGATGCGTACTTGTCATAAACTTTAAGTGCCCACCATGACCGCCTCCTCAACTCTCTGTTGATACCAGGAAAACCCTTGATCAGGCACGCAAGGTCCGACGGAGGCGTCGATTTCCCGATCACAACAGATTGAGAAGTCAATTTTACACCGCCTGCCGTGTTGACAAGCAACATTCCAAGGTTTGATGAGAGGCTGACAAACTTCGTCGGAATTCTAAGGTTACCCCACGGGGTGGATATTAGTCAATGTCGTCACTGTCCACGGGATGCGATTAGTATGAAGCTACTAGCTTCAAGGATAACTATCCTCCTTCAGACTACTTTTTATCTGACACATCGCTAGGTTCAAGATACCTCGATCAAAAATGGCGCCCCCTCGCAAAGCTCTCATTGCTATCACTTCCGCTCATGCTCCTCTGTATCCCGATAGCAAGGAGACTGGTATGTTCCCGGATTAAGAGTCAGTCCAAGAGTCAGGAGTAACTTAGCCATCTTCTAGGTTTGTTTATCACTGAAGCTTTGCATCCTTTCCTTGTATTCAAGAATGCAGGCTTCGGTGTTGATCTGGTGTCGGAGACCGGGTCTTACCAGCCTGACTGGCTCTCACAGCAAAGGAGTTGGCTTAAAGGTGAAGATAAAGCTATTTGGGAGGATAAATCTAGCGAATTTCGTTCGAAACTCGACAATCTCTTGAAGCCAAGTGAGATTGACCCTAATAACGTAAGCCGTTTTTATCGATAGTTACCAGGGACGCGAGCTAACAAGACTTTGAACCAACTCAGTATGGTATTTTCTTCGCTTCAGCTGGTCATGCTTCTTTGATCGACTACCCCGATGCCAAGGGTCTACAGAGCATTGCATCCAAAATGAACAATGATGGCGGTGTCATCTCTGCTGTGTATGCGCGCCTTCATCTGTCAAGTTAGATATGTTACTAATCCAAAGCAGCTGTCATGGTGGTGCCATCTTCCCAGGGATCATTGATCCTAGTACAGGAAATTCGATCATATTTAATCGAAGAGTGACTGGCTTCACTACTCAAGGTGAGGAAGAAGAAGGTGTTTTGGACACCATCAAAAGCTGGGATCGCCCTACTATTGAGGCCTCCGCTGCAAGCTCGGGAGCCACATGTAAGTTAAAAAAGACGTTGTCTCAATCGCTACGTCTAACTATAACATTCTATGCATGTCTGACATGATTTTAGATGTTTCTCCTCCTGGTCCTTGGGATGCTTTCACTATCACTGATGGGCGCATCGTGACCGGTGCTAATCCTGCGAGCGCCCATGTGACAGCTGAAGCCGCGGTTAAGGCATTCAACGCTCTGTAGTAGCTTGACTACTAACTGGAAACTTGGATGTCTTTCAGCACATAGGTAGAAGTAATAGCACTCCCTGTTCGTTATTTCATCGGCGAGTATATTAGCACCCAGCACCGAAAAGTCCATATAGTCGGAAACCTAAATTGCCATAGTAAGACTTATGTTCTAAACTAGTGGGGGGATTTATTGAGCGCCGCATTAATATTTCAACATTAGATGCAGATAGGAACTGGAATGTCATACATGTATATATATATATATAACATAGATCAGAGCATAGCAGGCAGGCCTGAAGATAGTAATAGTGATAAGAGCTAGTATACTAAATATGGCGGAACTAGAAGGCTGTCAAGGTAACTAGGTAAGCTAACATCTTTACCTAAGTCCCAAAGGATGACTTCTATCAGAAAATAGCTCCTCTAGCTCCTCTGGATGGTTTTACTTTTAGACGTAGTCAAATGTTATGCATAGGAAAGTCCTTTTCACAATTGAAACATTTTTCTACGGCCTTCTGCTGCCTACCAATGAAATGTTTTAGAAGGGGGGAACATATCTGAAAGAGAAGACCTATAAAAAGACTACCAAAAAGCTCCCCCAAAACATACCGCATAAGCGGTCGACTATTCTAAGGTATTATGTAGTAACATTGACATATACTTCGCGTCATATGCCCATACTTGGCATAAAAAATGATGAGAGGGGCCGATAGAGTGGACTACTAGAGTAAATAAGATATTTAAATACTTACTACGCTTGTGAAGACTGATGGTGGACACATCTATCCTTGCCGATGCGCTCACTCACAACTTTTTTAAATTGCAGCGAATGGCTTTGCTAGTCTTGGATAAGAGTGAGAAAACACGAATATTTTATTTTAATTATATGCTTTAGCCCCTTCGATAATTCCTTGACAGCCTAGGAAAATATGAACATTTATCATACCTAGGCTATACCCACCGAGTTTAACTAGCCCTAAATTTTCCACCCTTCGCCGTGCTTCCACTTAATGAATCTCAGCACAATGAAAAGAGCCGCACCAGTCACGACTGTCATAGCAGAGAAAAGTTGCGCTTTCCAAAATACAGCATGCTCGAGATCTAACAAAGCGCCCGCAATGGGATTACCAATCAGCAGGCCCACGCCAGCGAAGGTAAAGCACATCCCCATTCGGGTCCCCACAATACTCATGTCTGCGGTGATCTTAGCGATGATAGTCGGGGGTAATGAGACAATTGCACCAGATGCATATCCGTAGATAATAGCGAATACGATAGTTCCAGCCTCGTTCTTGATACCTATCCACGCGAAAGCTAAGATAGTAGCTATCAAGCTAATTGGGACAATGGTGTTGAGGGAGCCGATACGATCAGCGAGTATACCAGGCGTGATGCGCCCAAACACGGAGGCAGCATTGAGAATTGCGATGCTGTAGAAGGCAATATTTTCGTTGGAATGGAGGTATGATGTGAAGAAGGTGGGAAGGTAAAAGAAGGGGAAGTACAAGCCAATAAAGGCGAAAAACAGTGCCAGACTGAGCACGATAAAGGGCGATTCTTTGAAGGCGCTCCGGTCGATGAGCCTTCGGGCCTGCTTCGGAGGCGGCAGGCGCATTTTCATCACGGCTAGGGAGAATAGTAGTCCACCGAGGGCAATAAACGCGATAACACGAGTCGTCCAGCCGAAGCCAAGGGGGCCGATCAGCTTGTGAAACACGGAAGGGAAAATCACGGAGCCTTAGGACAAGAATTAGCCATCTAATATTCTTCTTGTTTCAAAGATTCGATACTTACCGATGCTACCTCCAGAAGCGGTTATACCTGTGGCCACTGCTCTCCGCGAGGTAAAGTAAGTGGCGACAATAGCAACACTAGGAAGGAACAAAAATGCGCAACCAGCTCCGACAGCGACACCATGGGCTAAGAAGACCTGGTAATACTTGGTTGACAAGGATGTCATCATCAAACCAAATACAACTAGGAACGAGCCAATGGCGATGAGGGTCTTGAGATAGCCCTTGTCGAAGATGGGGCCGACAACGACTCCGACAATGAAGAGCAGGAATCCTTGAATTGTTCCAATCCAAGAGATCGAGGATGCGGAGTATCCAGGGAGGAGAGTCTCTTCATAGTAGCTTTGGAAGACACCAAATGTATTGACAATTCCCCTAATATTGATTGTGTTAGCTCATTGGATGATACAATTTGCAATGTCAGATGTCGAGCTAGAGCTCACCAAGAATTGAAAAACAGGAAGAAAGCACCCGCTACCTGAAGCCATGCTGTAAGTCCTCCATTCGGTGGAGGGGGAGGTACAACTGGTTGACTGGCTGTCTGTTTTTCTGACTCGGATTCGTCAGACTCAGCGGCAGGCAGTGACGCAGGAGGGTCTTGTAGAGCGAGATGCTTGTCCGTTTCAGTAGACATGGTATGTTGGAAGTATGGAGTGATTCCAAAGGTTACTTTATAGTCACAAAGGACTCTGGGGCTTCAAGAAGGTAGTTCGGGGGATGCGACTTTGACTGAATGAACTTGGAAGTGTTAAATACAAAAACTTTTTCTAGTGCCTAGCAGCTCCAAATATAACTTGAGACTACATGTTTACCTGTAGAGCTCGGCCTCTCGGCCTTTTCCCACCTGGAGAGCATTTGTAATAACGTAGGACTTTCTTTATGGTGTTGGACCCACAAGTGCGGAGCCTAAAAGGGACTAAGCTTTGGATCTGCCCGACAAACGAAATATCAGATGTAACACACGACATCGGGGGATCCGAAGGATTTCACCTGCAGGGTCAAATCAAGGAACTTCCCCATTGCACCATTTTCTGTTGGGGGCAAGGCACGCGAAAAGTCAAGCCTAGAAGCGGCCTACAAACGAATACGACAGGGTTCTGGTTGGTTGTTTCCTCTTGATGAATAATCTTAAATTATCTTTGAACAATAATAATCTTCCAAGGTTGACTGGCTTCAACCCCATTTGCAAAGCTCGTTGGATTACCCCATATGCGACTTCTTTCTGGCAACCGCGATGTATTCGCAAGTAAATGTACCGTGAAAAGGTAAACCTGGGGAATGAGGTCCAGCTTTCGAATGTAAATTTTTTACCTGAGTGACTACCCCTGCCAGGGGAAGGGTAGGGTACAGGGGTCTGCATGTCAGCCTCAGTTTCTTTTACATAATTGCGTAAGTTGCTGAGGTGGCCCGGGGGCGGAAGTAGTTACCGCTTAATATGATATATAACATAATCTGCTTGCTTGAACAACCTTGGAAGCTAACGTGTTCGGTAAGCGAGATGCGCATGTAAGCCAGCTGCGCAGCCCTGGAGCCCAAGACACATAGTAAATGCGATATTTTATAATTTTATATTCCCAACAACGACATCAGCATCTTCTTTCGCTGCCTCTTGATAACTATCGATAAGACTTATAAACTCCATGTATTAGTCTTCAGGGAATTGAAAACCTACAATATCGTGGGATTGAAAATTACCGTGTCTCAAGGTAGAAATATATTTCTGCACTTCCTATTGGCTATAAAAATTTTAAAATTTACTCAAGAGGCGAGATACTACCTAAAAAGCATTGACCTATAAGGAAATCTCCCTATATACCACTATTGTTGAGATATGACGCTATATTTTTATCGTATTTACTATGTGTTTTGGGCTGCGCAGCTACCGCCTTCCTAATGTATCATTCCTCTTACATCCCCTTGGCCTTTTATTGGTGGATATTTAACTACTGTCTTCGGTCATGTGATTATTATGTGATCCTCTAGGTAAATACGACGTAAATACCAAATGAAATCCATCTGTTCTGCATGGTTTATACCTTTTACCCCTTTAGTTCTAAAAAAAAACCCATCTAAATAGGCATGTATCCAAAAAAAGACCACAAGGTCATGCAAAGCCGGCCAACTATTCTTGTATTGATTTGAAACTTGAAACTACTCTGTACAACATAGTGCCAATAAGCTATTTCGTGCAACACCCGTGGTCAAGGCTTAAAGCGCGGCCCGGCCCACCAGCTTTCGCATCCTTCGCGTACGTGGTAACGTTGCGAAACTCTGTTGGATCAAAAATTGTTTCTTTCGCTTACTCGAACACGAAGACGGTCTTCCGACCCCCGATCGCCTCATCGTCATGGGCCCGCTGAATCGAATCAAAGAGCGATTTCTGCAGGCCCTTTGCGCCACGTTTCCATGTCACAAACTCTAGCGCTGGCGCTTTCAGGGTCCCATGAGTCAATAATTCTGCAAACCACTCGAAAAGCGCCACCTGCTGTAGAGGGGCCCGCCGACCGAGACAATCACTTAGCCTGAAGGATTTGAGCGTAATATTACACTGCCACAGGAACTGACGAAGATTCCCCTCCCGAGATTCAGCCGTCCCGAGGAATCCTGCCGTTACAAGCGTGCCGCCTGGAATGAGGGATGCTGCCATGTTTCGGGCCAGTGAATCATCCGAGACAGAGTCAATTGCCAGCACGATTCTCTTTCCTGTCAAGGCATCGGTGGTACGGAGCTCTTCTTCCGTCAGGACCAAGGATGCACCGTGGGAGCGCAGTGAGCGCTTAGTGCGCTCTAGCTCATCGGCCGTGAGTCGGTCGCGGATCACGCTAATGACTTTGATGCCATATAGCGGGGCTAGTTGACTGACGAAATGACTGATAGTTCCGGTGGCTGCGTTCTGGATGATCCAGTCTCCGGGATCGAGGTTGTGGTATTCCCTCAGCAGGAAATAGGCGGGGGCGATGCCCATGCGCAAAATCGACGCAAGATGCGGCTTGACAGTAGACGGAATGCGGATGAGATCTTCTTCCACGAAGACTGCATGCGTTCTCCACGTGCCTTTGCAGTGGGCTCGGAGAATAACGAGGTCATCAACGGCCAAGTTGCTGACGGCAGAACCGACTTGGATAATGCGAGCTGCACCATCGGAGCCCGGAATTGCCCACTGCTTGCCATCCTGTCCCGTGATGTTGCTCTTGGGCTTGATAGGGTACTTTCCGTGAATAACGAGAAAGTCCAATGGGTTGACAGGGGCCGCGAGGAACTCAACAACGACTTCTTCCGGCCCATAAGTGGGTATGGACTGCGTGATGAGCTGAATTCCGTCGATCGGTTTGGGGGCGCCATAGATGAAGACGAGAGATTCGGCCATTGTGACGTAAAAATTTGGATTCGCGTTGGAATGATGGAGGCAGAAGGTCTAGATGATCGGTGATACCGTCCTTTGTGCTCGTCAGGATTCAACTTTTTATAGCCTTGCCGATGAGACCAAAAATCCCTCATTGCCTGGCCGTTGGCCCATAACCGTTGCATAAGATCCGTTTCGCGTTGCGCGAGATCTGACATGCATGAAGTGGATTCAGGAACCACAAAAAAATCCCAGAAGCTTGACTGCACAAGCCTCCAAGGGAAGGATCACCGGGGTCAAAGCGGTACGAGGCGCTCTTCAGTACTAATTCCAGTCTATACGCCCATACGGAGGGTCTATAGTTTAATGCAAGAATGCTGTGTTTTCATGCGACGGGATCCGATTGGAACAATTACTGGTATACGCAGGATTCGGGTCAGAGCCAGGTTGCGACATGAGACTTAATGGTTCCACCTATACAGGCTAGTCCGCAAAGCCTCGCCACCTTACACTACCACTTGGAGCACTAGTCACAGGCAACACCGAGTTTTGGGGCCGAAAACATGTAGCATTGATGGTGTCGTTGTCTAGTTCTCAGCTCCTATTTGTCTCAGTATACGAGGCATCCTTCGCTGGTCAGGACTCCTTTTGGAAACTGCCCATATTGCGTCTTCGGGAATGGGTCTCCAGGAATTGGGGGCGTCTACGACGTGACGCAAGTGTATATTGTCACAAAGACAGTAAAATGCCACCAGCTCAGTCTATAAGTATCTGTGCAAGCCATAGATCCTCAGTATCAAAAGTCTCTTCATCTATCTCACACTCGGGCTGAGGCATTGACATCCATTGCTGAAGAATATCGTCATGGCTCCAATCGCCACCCGGCACCTTATACCTAGCCCTACTTTGGACAGTCCTGTCACCACTCTCAAACAAAAAGTCACAAACGTGATACAAGCCCAGGCTACCTCAAGCCCGCCATCGGTGCCTTGCTTGGTTACAGACCTCATTCGATACCAAGTCGATACAAACCCAGGAGCGTTTGCTGTGCACTGCGAAGATGAGGAACCCTATACATATCACGAGCTATGGCAGATTGTTGAACAAATTACCCTCAACGCCAATTTCGCACCGGGGTCTATTGTCCCACTATGTCTCGATCCCACTATAGAATTTGTGGCGGGCCTTCTGGCGATTATGGTTTCTGGTGCAGCATACGTTGTCCTTGATCCCGAGGGTTCTCCAGAGCGTAATCGAGCCATCGTGGCCGATACCGGTGCGGATTCAGTCCTGTCAAACAACAAATATGGCTATTTGTTTGAACAAACCATCTCGGTGGAGGATCTCCTGTCTAAGAATGAGGCAGTCCAAGGATATTTAGTCAGCCCGCCACTCGTGCCTACCTCAAGTCCATCGGATCTTGCCTATCTGATCTATACTTCTGGTAAGTGATGTTGCAAGACATATGGACTAAGGAAAGAACCGTGGAGGCTAACACTCTTTTCAGGGTCTACCGGAACACCAAAAGGAGTCTTGTTGAGCCACCGCTCAGCAAGCCATGGGATCAGCCAATTCGAGCTCAACGGCCGCAGGCGGTGGTTGCTCTTTTATAATCCCGTGTTCTCCGCGGCCCAAAGAACTATTCTCGCCACACTGGCAAAAGGCGCCTGTCTCTGCCTGGCGCGCCGCGAGCGTCTAGCAACAGCATTGCCCGAGGTACTCGTCAACCTCAAAATTGATGCTCTTGGCATCACTCCTTCGGCACTATCACTGCTTTCTCCCAGTGAGATTCCGGACAGCCTCGAGCAGATAACAACCGTTGGTGAGCCCTTAAGCCAGGCTCTCGTTGATACATGGGCAGATGAAGTGCACCTGCGTGTCTCGTACGGTCTCAGTGAATGCGCCCAGTTGAACTTCTCTCGGCGATTGAAGCGAGGTGATAACCCTCGCAACCCGGGACTGCCAGTCGATACCACCACTGCTATCATATTGGAGCCCAATACAACCACACAATTGGCAGTTGATGAGCCTGGCGAATTGTGTCTCTTTGGACCTCAGGTTGCTAGCGGCTATCATCAACGCCCAAAAGAGACCAGTGCCAGTTTTGTCAAGAACCCTTTCAGTTCGAACATTCTTTTTAGAACAGGCGACCAAGCTGTTCGTCGCGCTAACGGGACTTTTGAGATCCTTGGAAGAATTGATCATCAGATTAAAATTCATGGCCAGCGAATCGAGCCTCAAGAAGTGGCGGAGACTCTCTCAACCGTGAAGGGAGTCGCCGAAGTTGTATGCGTTGGCGCAGCCATTAAAGATAAAATTTCCCTCGTTGCTGCAGTTGTACCAAATACCCAGGACAGTTGGTCCGATCTTGTGAAAAGCCTGCGAGAACAAGCACAGCACTCATTTCCACCATACATGGTTCCAAGCTACTGGCTTCGCTTCGATGAACTGCCAGTTAATCGAAATGGCAAGGTCGACTTCAAAACCATCCGAACGACAGCCGAATCAACAGACATTGACAGCCTTTTGGGTCGTGACCATAATCTCAATGGACAGGAGTTTCATTTAAGCCAAATTGCCCTTGAGATCGCTGAAGTCTGGGCCGGATTCTTGCATATCAACCGCTCATCTATTCTTCCTACCGATTCATTCGTCGCCTTGGGTGGATCTTCAATTGACGCCATACAAGCAATTCGTGAGCTCCGCACGAAGGGCATCCATGTCGACCTTGCGGACATGCTGAGATCTCAGAGCTTGGAGAGTGTTGCTGATTCTTCCCGTCTGGATACCAAAGGAGAGAGTCAGCCTCACGCCCCTCAGCCGTTTGACCTTGTATCAGACACCGATACCAAGGTGGAGCTTCAGGCTGATCGCGGCGTAGCTGATGCTTTGCCTCTCACTGCCTTGCAAGAAGGCATCCTTGCCAGTACACTACAAGGTAACCAAGACTATCTGTATCAAAGGGTTTTTGATATCCGACATCTTGACCTGGTCAGATTGCAGCTTGCTTTCCAAAGTGTGTTTTGGCGTAGCGAAACACTCCGGTCTACTTTTGTTCCGGCCACCAAAGGCTTACTGCAAGTCATCCGCAATGATTTCCTTCTTCCTTGGACGGAGGTTTCTGGTAGCCTGGAAAGTTTCCTCAAGGCTGACAAGGAAAAAGGTGTCACTGTCGGGGACCCTTTCATGAGAGTAGCAGTGCTCAACAACTCTGTACTCATCGTGTCCGTTCATCACGCACTATTCGACTTCTGGTCCCATTCCTTCGTATTTGAGGATGTTGCAAGTGTTTACTATGGCAGAAGGCCAGAGGCTCGAGCTTCATGGAAGTCCTTCATTGGGCTTTTACAGCAACAGGGGGAGAGAAACTCCACCGAGTTCTGGAGACAGCATCTTCAGGAATCAACACCTACAATCCTCAACCATTCACCAGCTGAAGAGTTCTTCACTGCCACGCGAATTCTTCCTCTGAATTTGAAGTCGGCATCCACGGCCCTTCAAGTTCCATCCAGTGCTATCTTATACGCTGCCTGGGCTATAGTTCTTTCGTCTCATACGGCGTCAAACCTAGTTACTATGGCTACGGCTATCTCGGGTCGAGAGCTGCCATTGCAAGGAATTGAAACTCTCGACGGTCCAACTCTCGCCATGGTGCCGCAGGCAGTTCTTGTCAATCCTGAACATTCGTTGGATCAACTTGTGCAATCTGTCAATGCCAATCTATGGGATATCATCAAGAACTCGCAACAGGGAGTGCGAGGTGCTTTGGCAGCAGCTGGACATCAGAACACAACTCTGTTTGATACCATGGTGAACATACTGCCCCTGGGACAGGACAGCAGTGACCTCACACGGGAGGTGTTCCAGATACACGGGGCTAGATCTGCTTGGAAAACGGAGTACACCACATTGAACATTGAGGAGAGATCCGGAGGGGTCGAGGTTAGCCTCACAGCTCCCATGGAGCAGCGTCGCCTAACATTCATTTTGAACCAATTCTGTCATGTCGTTGAGACAATTTTCAGCAACCCACGACTACCAATCAAATCCTTCAGTGTTCTCGAATCGGAAGAGTTAGACTTCCTGCTTCAATGGAACGACGACCAGCCGCAGCCCACCACTCTTCATGAACAGTTCGAAAAGACGTTTGAGAAACACTCCTCCAGGGTTGCTATCAACTTCCAGAATGAGCAACTCCTGACATACGCTGAGTTGGACGAAAGAGCCAACCGCATGGCCAACTTCCTCTCGGAACGCGGCGTCACGACAGGAGATCTTGTTCCTCTTCTTCTGGAAAAATCACCATTCATGATTATCGCGATTCTAGCACTCTTCAAGCTGGGTGCTGCCTATGTCCCTTTGAGTCCCGAAAACCCTGTCGAGCGCAATGAGTTCATCGTGCGTGATGTCGGCGCCCATGTTGTTCTCACGGAGACGGAGCATGCTACATTCTTTTCCTTCAGCGACATCTCCGTTCTTTTGATTGATCAAGCTAAGCTCTGTGCATATTCAAAGGAGAAGCCTGAAACGAAAGTCTCGCCTAATGACTTCGCTTACATTCTTTATACTTCAGGTAGTACAGGTCAGCCAAAAGGAGTAACTGTCACCCATGGGGCGTGCGCTGCTGCGATGGCATCAATCATCGATTTTGAGAACAAGCGTGATGAGCCTTTTAGAGCTTTACAGTTCTCTAACTACGTGTTTGATGTCTCGCTCTACGACTTCTTTGTCACGTTGCACAGCGGTGGAACTCTCTGCATTGCTCCCTCGGATCGCCTCCTCGGTGATTTGGCTGGAGTCATTAATGAGATGGATGTCAATCATGTCTTCTTGACTCCCACCGTTGCCCGGCTTCTGGACCCCAAAGACGTACCAGGTTTGAAATCAATGACTGTTGGAGGCGAGCAGTTGACGCGCGATGTGATCGAGACCTGGGCTCCAGTGGTAACCCTGCGTAATGGTTATGGGCCCACAGAGGCTTCTGTTCTGGTTACCATGAAAGAGGTCACTGTCGATACCACCGG